GCTGTGGCTCAAGTGGTAGAGCGCTAGCCTTGAGCTGAAGAGCTGAGGGACAGCGCCCAGGCCCAGAGTTCAGGCCCCACAACTGACAAAAACAATATAAATGTAATATATATATTGTAATATATTACAATAACACATAATATGTTATTTCTGTGTCACGGATATGATCTATGTATTATCTAATCTATTGCATGCACATATATTTTTATATATTTCCCTATATTTCTATAGGGCTATATGGCTAGGTTATATACATATGCACAGGTGCACACACACGTGCACACACACATAGTAATCGTGCGTCCCTGTGTGCTCCTGGCGGGCCACGGTGTGTGTAGCTTCGGCGAAGGCAGCGGCGGACCCTTGGCTGCTCTCTGCCGGGAGTCAGCCTGGCCCGGAGTCTCAGCCCTGTGCCGGCCTTTCTGGCTCAGCAGGGGGAGGCAGCCACAAGCATCGGGGGCCCCAGGCCGAGCTCCCTGGGATCTGCCTTAGCATTTTCTCTCCCCTGGGGGCTCCAGGCCGCTGGGCGCCTCCCCAGGTTCGGGGCCCGATGGTCTTCTTTCCCCTCCCCGGCAGGAGAAGAAGGACTTCGCGCTGGCCTACCTGGACGGCACGCTGCTGTTCGGACACCTGCTGCAGCTCTTCCTGCAGCGCGGCCAGAACGTGGACAGCACCCACTTTCCGCTGGCCTTCCGGAACCTCACCTTCCCAGGTGAGACCTGGGGGCTGGGGCGCCCGGCCCGGCTGGGGAGAGGCCCCGAGGCCCCACCCTCCACCCGCGACCACGCCACGCGTCTCAGCGCAGCAGCGCTGCTTTGGTGCGAGCTCCGGCGCTGGGCTGGAATCACGGCCCGGCGCTGACCCTGGGCTCTGGTCTCATTCAAGACTGGCGCTCCACCACTTGAGCCACACCACCACGTCTGGCTTTTTGCTAGTGTGAGTGGGAGATGAGAATCTATCAGACGATTCTGCTGCGCTGCGTATTACATATGACATATAGTGCGTGTGATGTCATGTTCTGTGTGATCATTTTGTATGACGTACGTATGGCGCATGATGCGGTTATGTATGACGTACGTGACGTCTGTTGCGCGTGGTGTACGGAGTGTGGGCTCACACCTGGAGACGGGTGTGTCACATATCCCACGTCCTGTAAGGGCCAAGGCTCTCGGGAAGCACCAGGCCGCGGCTCTGCGTGGACCTGGGGCCCAGCCACGGGCATCCACGGCAGCACCCCTCCCCCTG